AGTACGTAGGCCTACTTTATTAATATTCTTGACTTGTTGGCTTGTTTGTTTGTTTGTTTTGATACTAATTGGGTAGCAGCAGTGTTTGCTGTTAGAACGATTCCATATCTTATTTGGAATGTGATTTGTTTAAATGATGACGACGACTTCTAGTCTCAACTTATCAAAAATATTAGTTTTTCTTCCTCTCTTATCTAAACAGACACATTCGACATGATTATACATGTAACAAATAATTAGGCAGTTTATTTTTATTCAACTTTTGCCCTAGGACTCACTTGTCAGGAACACTTCTTATAAAACCGGTCAACAGTACTGTCTAGTTGATGCCTCCATTCTGGATTAATGGCATTCTTTTAACTTTTTGTTTTGAGAATATTAATGTATGATGTCAAGATCAAACGCTCAGTTTTGTTTCTTATTGTATTTGATCTTTATAAGGCGATTTCATTATTAATCAAAGCTATAAATATTATACAACATTAGAATTGCTTTCAGGTTCAACATCATTTTTTTACAGAATCTTTTATCAAGAGACCTTATCAACAATTATTCTAGCCTATTACTGTAACACAGTTCCGAAGTTTGCTGTACATAGATTGACGAACGCTAGAAGAAAAAAGTAGTTTTTAATTTTAGCCGTCCTTATGTCAAACATAACGAAAGATTTAGATGCCTTATCTAACTCACTATGCTAATTTAATGTATTGGTTCTGGTATTTTTTTTCAGCTTTATTTCATTGTTTGTTGTCTCCCAGTGACACAACGATAAGTCTGTGAACTTATAACGTTTATTTGTTTTCCGACATTCGCACAAAACTGCTCAAAGACTATCTGCGCTAGCTGTCTCTAATCATGAACTGATATACTTGAGATAAGATAGTTAGTGTACATCGCCCCTCGTCAATTCTTGGGGTTACACTTGTCGGATCAAATCATGGGATTTTACCCACTGCCCAAAAGTTTTCACTGCGATTTTGTATTTATTTCTTTATTATTATTATTATTTTGGCGATAACGGGACGCGAATGTTTGACTCGCTGATTCATAGTCAGCCCATTTTATGTCACATCAAGTACGTAACGGTACTGTTTGTCGGAGCTCCTTGAATGTGTACTTGTGAAATATAACAGTTATGTATCAGAGGGGTTTCAAGATTCCTTTAATTAACTGCTTTTCTTTTCTCTGTCGTTATGCTGAAGCTTTACGCTATTCGGTTATCGAGTGTGATAAAGTTACACACACAGATTCTGTTTTATTTTAACCTCTTCGTTTGCCGCACATGAAAACTTTAAACAAACAATCTGAGTTGACAAAACTGTCTAACCTGTAATTGATATGACACAATGCTAAGCTGACGTGACAGGCGAGAGTCAACGGGGATGTAAAATTATTTATAGTTAGATCAGTTATGTTCTTTGTGGAAATAATTTGTAGGATGATTATTTTGTTTGTTGAATTTCGCGCAAATCTACTAGAGGGATATCTGTGTTACACGTCCCTAATTTAGAAATGACAAATTACAGGTAAGGCAATTCTATCCACCACCAACAAGAACCGGGTTTCGATACTCGTGGTGGGCACAGCACAGAAATCATATTGTGTAACTTTGTGCTTAACTACAAACAAACAAACAAAAACGAAGATATTTATCATTATTTCTGGATACTATTTGTAGATTTACAAAAGATGAAGAAATACAAAATCAACAAAGAAACAAATTACTTAAATACCTTATGTTGGACTTAGTTTTCTAAATTTGTAAGCAAGTTTATATGCAGAATAACACGTGCGTTTGGTGATTTACTGATAGTACTAAAATAAAACGTTTTATCCAATATTGTTTGTTAAACATATCTCGGGAGAAGCCGAGAAAATGTTATCATACCCATGTTCGCTGTAATTATTTTTTACATTTGTGTAATTAAATCAAATTACAAAAAAATTAAATGTTTTCGGGTTTCTCCTTTTTTATTAGTTCCTCTATTTAAATATCAAACGAGCGCCTACGTTTTCAATGGAGATAAACTAAAGGTTGTTTTAATTTGGCTTAGTGTTTGCATACAAACAGTTAATTCACGTTTAGCTTTAAATATTTTGTTGAGGCATTTCAATTACTTCTTTTTGTGTTTTGCTTCTAGGTTAGAAGGACAAGGAATCGTTAATTCTAGCAATGTGAAATTTCATAAAAGCATGTTATTGTAGCATTAAAAGAATTAATAGAAGTTGAATTGATTTAATATGATATTATGAAAGGAACAGCTTACGTGAAAAATTGTGAAAATATTAATGGCCATAAAAAACTAAGATTAATGAATATTTTGGTCTTTGTCTACTATGTTTAATTCTGAAGAATATTAGTATTGTTGGTCTTTCAATATACTTTGTTTTAAAGTTATCAAACACTGATATTATAATATTGTTGGTCTTTCGATACACTTTGTTTTAAAGTTATCAAACACTGGTATTATAGTATTGTTGGTCTTTCGATGCACTTTGTTTTAAAGTTATCAAACACCAGTATTATAGTATTGTTGGTCTTTCGATACACTTTGTTTTAAAGTTATCAAACACTGGTATTATTTCCTGCTGCCTTTAGGATTCAACAAACAATATTGGTCATCTGAAAATTTACTTAAAACTGTATATAGAAATAAAAACGGTGCATGAAAACAAATAACACAACAACAACAACAATAAGGAAAGCATTCAAGGGAACGTCTGAACGAAATAAGCCTTTGTTGTTTCGAATTTTGCTAATTTTGTTAGTAAAGTTACTAAATTACCTCCATACTATTTCTAAGTGACGATTCACATTAATTATTTATCTCTCAGTAGTTCTGCCATGAAGGTAATTAAATAATATATTTATTTGTATTAGTTAGTTCATTTGGAAAACAAAGAGAGCTAAAATAATCTCATATTTGATGTTATACGTTTCTAGTAATGAAAAACGTGAAGATATTCATTCATATACTCCTTAATATGATGAAACAGGATCTATGACTTGATAAATGTTATACAGTTATTACCTATGAAACCAAAAACATCAACCTACGATAATTTAAATGTTTTCTTAAAACACGTGAGTGCTGTCTCACATTTACAGTAGGCGTGGTTCAGGATCCGACCATTATGTTATATCATTTCAAAGCTGTGTGCTTTTGATAAGAGAAAGAAAGAGAGCGTAGCTCACTTTTAAAAGTACATTCTTAAACGAATGACTGAGAGATAAACATAACACTTCCTTGTTAATGTTGTCTTCAGGAAAGTTCGTTAACATAAAATGTAACATGATTAAAAGTTTTCCTAATTTTTCGATTTCACCGATTTTGTTGGTGTAAATTGTGCACATCTGAAAAAATATAACAACAAAAACAAACGCCTCCTCAAAAAACTTTAAAAATTTAAGTACGACGACATTTACCGTTTCATAGTTTATCTCGAATAAATTTTACAACGGCAGTATAATATTCTCTCTCCTTCCCTAAAAAAAATAAAAATACTGATTTTGATTAAAAAGAAGTTAAGCATTTTATAAATGAGACCAACACACAACTGCATTAGTTAAAACTTTATTTATTTATGCTGTTTTGTTTTACAAAACATCTATACAAAGGAAGAAAGAAAATTATAGAGAGGTAGTCTCATCATAATTGTCAATAAGTGGGAAAACTGGGTACTTTGTTCATAGAAATAATAAGTAGAACAACTGGGTACTTTGTTTATAGAAATAATAAGTAGAACAACTGGGTACTTTGTTTATAGAAATAATAAGTAGAACAACTGGGTACTTTGTTTATAGAAATAATAAGTAGAACAACTGGGTACTTTGTTTATAGAAATAATAAGTAGAACAACTGGGTACTTTGTTTATAGAAATAATAAGTAGAACAACTGGGTACTTTGTATACAGAAACAATAAGTGGAACAACAGAGTATTTTGTGTACAGAAACAATAAATGGAACAGCTGGGAAGTTTGTTTACAGTAACAATAAGTGGAACAACTGGGTACTTTGTTTACCAAAACAATAAATGGAACAACAGAGTACTTTGTGTACAGAAACAATAAATGGAACAGCTGGGAAGTTTGTTTACAGTAACAATAAGTGGAACAACTGGGTACTTTGTTTACCGAAACAATAAATGGAACAACAGAGTATTTTGTGTATAGAAACAATAAATGGAACAACTGGGTAGTTTGTTTACAGTAACAATAAATGGAACAACTGGGTAGTTTGTTTACAGTAACAATAAGTGGAACAACTGGGTAGTTTGTTTACAGTAACAATAAGTGGAACAACTGGGTAGTTTGTTTACAGTAACAATAAGTGGAACAACTGGATACTTTGTTTACCGAAACAATAAGTGGAACAACTGGGAACTTTGTTTACAGTAACCACTTAAAATAAAAATACCACCTGTTCATCTCTAGACCTGTGGGTATTTTAAAACTGAAATATTTAATGTTCTTTTTAGAACTCCAAGAAATGAAGAAATACAAAAATTAAGGAAGAAACAAATTAATAAAATATTTGATGTTGGATTTAGTTTCTTAAATTTGCAAGAAAGATTTGTTTTAGTTTATTGTTAAGCACAAAGCTACACAATGGGCTATCTGTGCTGTATCCACCACGGGTATCGAAACTCACATAAGTTCTCAGACTTCCCGAGCCACTGGGAGGAGTTATAAGGAAAATAGTACTTATGTTTAATTATTTACTAACAGCAATAACGTAAAGCAATTTATCCAGTATTGTTTGTTAGGTGTCGTGGAAACTGAGAATGAGGTAGTCTCGTTATGATTGCCAACAGATGGAATAACTGGATAATTTGTTTACAATTTCAAAAGAAAGGTGCAAGTTGAATTTTTTGTTCATTTGTGTTATAATACGAATATTAACGGTAAAATAGTTGTATACCTATAAAATGGATTTAAGAAACGTCGAGAAAATATGAAAACTCTTATGTATACAAAAGGAACTTGAAATTAGCATACCTGTAAGCGTTGAAGCTGGACTGGTGTCAGTGGAACACGCGATGTTGGCTTCACTACTGGCCAGTGACGAAACGCTTGCATATGATTCGTGGCTACTGTGGTTAGTTGATTCTGGAGGTGGAACCTTTCGGCTAGCATGAGGACTGTCACCAGGAAGCAAGCCAAAACGTATGAACAAGTCTTTCTTGGCCGTGTTCTCACTTTCTTTCACTGCATATGCAGGATTTTCGTCACCTGAGAATAACACAAAATCAGCGAGACTTATGATTTCATCAAAGGATTGTGCGAACTTATTATGCTAAAAAAAATAAAAAAGTGCTAACACTCCCATATTATTGTGAAATAAATATGGCATATTTTTATTTTAACGTTAAGTATTTATTGTTTAAAAATAATTTAATGATTAGTCTTTGGATACGTAACACATTATTAACTTTCAAATATTTACGCAATGAATACTCGAGAAAAAAAATTAAACGGAGTGTCTCACATTTCACATATAATATGGTGTTCATAAAAATCTATCAAGGATTGTGGTCTGAAAAGTTGGTTATCTTAGGGTAAGTGTGTTTATTTCACTAGTATGCATTAAAGTAAAATACGTAATGTATATCTTAATAAAAGTATTAAGTTGTTTAGAACAAATAACTTTCAAATTTAAAGCACATACCTGATAATGGTCTATGAACATCAGCATTAACATTAAACGTCTGTCCATTATGTTGCTTGTGCCATGGAATACGAGGGCCCTCGAAGTTACGTACATAGGTCATGGAAATACCGTGACATGGATGGACACCTGAGGAAGAGTTAAACTCATTTTTACTATCATCTCGTGTTGTTTAAATTTAAATACAGACATTCTTTAGGAGTTATTTGAATGTAAGATCGTATAAGTAAATCGAAATTAACAATTAAAATTATTAATACATTCTGGGTGTTAAAGGCAAACTATTTTTTCCACCGTTAAATGTCTGTTTCAATGATCCTCAGTTAAGTAAAATGTTACCGTTATATTTCGTTTTAGATGCTTAATATTAGAAGATTGATTCCACTCTGGTTAAAACCATTCCAGGAAAATCTAATTACATGCTAACTTAAGATGCTATTGGAAAGTTTCCTAAGCTGATTTAACAGGGGGATAATTAGTGGTATAATTATTTATTTTATAAACTCCAAGCTAATGCGCAGCATTTCTTCTCTCTTGAAAGAAGCATTAACAGTTCGTACTCAACAGCATTAAGACAGTGAAAAAAAAATCGATTTTAGATTAAAAATTGTTCAATAAGCTTTTTATTCGGACTGCTGAGTTTGAAAACACCTTAAATGAAAATCCTAAAACAAAAAACAAAACGGACTATTCTACAATTTTTTGTTGCAATAATTTTATAATTTTATCTCATAAAACGATTCTTTAGTAGCACAGAAATCGGCCCTAAAAGTACAGAGTATTATGAAATATTTTTGTTATAAGTCCACTGATAAGAGATTTTCCTTTTAGGTTATAGAAACTGCTAAAGCACCATCAATACAAAAATAATGAAAACCAGAAAACCAAAGTGTTCAATGATCTTACACAACAAGTGTTTATTTGAGGGGCACATTTCAAATCATACTACCCAAGAGATGTAACTGTGACTGTATATTTAACGATCGCGTGGAAGAAGAGCTTATTTAAGGGCACATTCTAAGTCATACTATTCACGGGATGTAAATGTGACTACATATTTAAAATGAAAACAGGTCAAAATGGTTAAGCCCGAATGCTCATGAACACTTTGTTCTATGCCTTAGTTTATTCATTATTTTAAAACTATGTTTTTATAACTTTATTTTTTTTATTCGTGCTTGTAATAAAGTTCAGAAATGTGTTATAGAAGAGCCATTTATTGTACAAAACATTATAGGACTTAAAGAAATGAAATTGTAGCCAAACCGGAGAAAATAAGTTATTGAAAATTAAATAAATAAAAAATATATTATCCTACTGGCTACAAATGTTAAATTTCTCGTTCTCCTCCTCGAGCTAACATGAATGTTTGTTTGTTATGAATTTCGCGCAAAGCTACACGAGGACTATCTGCGTTAGCCGTCCGTAACTTACCAGTAAAGACTAGAAGGAAGACAGAGCTATTCAGTACCACCCACCGCCAACTCTTGGGCTACTCTTTTACCAACGAATAGTGGGATTGACCATCATATTATAACTCCCCCATGGCTGAAAGAGCGAGCATGTTTGGTGGGATGGGGATTCGAACCCGCGACCCACAGATTGCGAGTCGAACGCCCTAACCACCTGGCCACGTCAGGCCAACATGAACGAAAAAACTATAAAATTAAATTACTTTCAAGTACTAGTTATAACAGCAAACACACATTCTAAAAAGAGCGAGTAAAAGAAAATGCAAAGTTAAAAAAATGTTTGGAAGTAAAAAAAAAAAGCGGGTTTCGTGTCTGTAATATTTCAAAGTGCATTAAAGCGAAAATGACGTTTTAAGAAGAAAAATAATAATAAAAGGCTTTTATAGACTCTTACTTTCTCACTCCCTGAGTATATCCTTGACCTCCTATCTACCTTAATGTTAACTATTTAGACCAGTCATAAACTTTAATTCTTCGGCTTCCATTTTAAATCCTTCCATTAAGATATAAGCCGTTAAACGGATGCCAGCTAGTCTAATCACATTTTATTTCACCAAGTCATTTTAGCTTATAAACAACGATATTAAGAACGGCCTTACAAACTTTCACTAGATAAAAAAAAAAAAATGGCATGAGGAGCAGGGCCGGAGAGAACAAGCAGGCCATGCATCCTCAAAGATTTTGAACATATAAGATGTTTCTTATTTCAAATACTAATACCTATATATTATTCGTTTGGGGCGTAAAATGTTTGAAAACTGAATATTTTTGTACCAAAACGTTCAAAACTTTTCTTGTCCTGTTCTTTGTCATTCGTCAAGATGACATCTCGTGGTATAAGACACAGTACAGTTATGCCCCTCGGTTCGTTTTTTGTTTTTTTATCTGTACAGTTTCTTTATACTTGCGACGGAAATAGCCGAGGGGACCCAAGCCTTCTTATCGGGTTTACCAAAGACTTTGAAGATGTTCGCACAGGTAATGGAGCCAACCAGAATCTAGGTTTAAAAATAACCAGTGAAAATTCCTTTAAGAAAAGTTAACAACCTTAAGGGGCAAGCAAGACCGCAGTGGTAAATGGCTGGTACAAATTTAATCATATCTATGAGTATTCAATGCTTTTAAAGATTTAAATGATTAAAAGCGAATTTCATTAAATGATGTGCAATTACATGGTTAAAAAGTGCGACAATTTATTTTGATTTGGTTTTGTTTTTTGAGAGTTTTCAAACAATATTTAAGCTTTGTCTGGCATGACGATGACTAGTGGTTACTAACGGGTTTACAGCTACGTTTGTTTGTTTGTAGTTAAGCACAAAGCTACACAATGGGCTATCTGTGCTCTGCCCACCACGAGTATCGAAACTCAGTTTCTAGCAGTGTAAGTCCACGTGCCACATGCAACAGTACATTACATAAACACTAAGAATCTTCGTGTGGAAAAGAAACACATATCACGTGTAACCAAGTTACTTCCACGACATAGATATATCCGATGGACTACAGCATAGCTCAAGCAGCTGGAGAAAAAAACGGTTATTCATAATATTTTATACGATGATATACGGGTCACGTTTTCATACGCAGCGCCTTTGGATTTCTATTTGACCGGATTATGAAAAGTATACAGATAGACGTCGTGTGCTTTAGCCAGGACAGTCTTATAATGGATCCTTTTGCAATGAAAACAATGCTGCAAGGCTATTGTAAAGATTTGTGGTCGTCAGATAGAGAACGTAAAAATTTCGCGACATGAATTGTACCAACGTGGTGAGTCTCCAGAATAGTTCTAATATAACATACTTAATCTCTCTATTTTGTTTCTGTTTGTTTGTATTTGTATCACTTTTCATTGATTCCTTCTTGAAATGTACAGTTTAATCATTATGCGTGTAAGACAATACCTGACATTTGACTCACTGAAGTTACGTTACTCGCTATTATGTTTAGTAACAGTATCTGAACAGAAATATTTTACGTCACGTTATTTTAAAGTAATCGATATTAGGTTTGAGCAAGTTGTCAAATGTCAATTTCTTTCAGATATAAGTTCACAGAACTGCGAAATCCGTTCATTATGTTTCTTCGATTATTAAAAATAATATCCAGCCATCGTCATTAAATGTCAAAAATACTAACATACAGTGTACTGTTTCCAAGGAAAATATAAGGGATCCAGCAGTTCGAGTTTACATCTATTCGTTTATTTTCATATATTTCTTCTTTAAGTTCAGATAAAAAACAATAAAATTCGATCTTCCATTTACTGACAATTAGTCCCAACTTTAAGGTTGTATTGTTGAATTATTTTAACCAGTTGATAAACGTTTGTGTCATGTCTCTCGTATATTGTTGTGTTGTATTTGAAAGGGTAACGTGCTGGACTGTGAATCACAGGGTCCATGGTATGCATTCCATTGCCGCAAAATCGCGCTCCGCACGTTGGGATAGTGGGTGCGTTCTTATCTTTTAATAGCCAAAGAGTTGGTGGGTACTGTGGACTATCTGTCTTCTTTCTAGTCCATCTGTTGAACATTAGGGACAACTAGCACAGATAACCCTTGTGTAGCTTTGCGCGAATATCCGAAACAAACAAATTAGATTGGAAGCACACACACACACAAAACATTGCAAATGTAGTATGTAACGTTTAACTGGCGTTTTTCTTATGATGCTTTCATGTTAGTAAGATAATACATCAATAAATATTTTCAATGCCGACTAAAAACCCATTTTAAATAGTAGTATATCCAATAAAGGCAGTATTGAATTTATTGTTTACTCTAAAAAGAGAGTTCTTATCAAACAACAGTATGTAATTAAATTTCGGCGAATTATTAGGAATTTATTCTCGCGCTTTCTCCGTCTACTTAGTTACAAGTTTATTTCATACACAGAAAAAAAAACACAAAAAAACGAAATGCTGTTCTCTGTTGATCATAGATTTTCAACTAAAGCCCATAGGACTCAAGGAGTCCACAAACCCTTTTTTTTATGAGAAGCTGTTTAAAACAACAACAACAACTTTAATTTAAGCACTTAGACCAGGAAATAATTAGGTCGGAGACTGAGAATGCTTCGCTGAGCTCTAAACGTATACAATTGATGTTCTATATCTAGATTATTGTAATGCTCTATTACAATACTAAATATATTAAATGTTTCCTTATATTATTAACTTTTAAAATAGGAAATGATATGCAATACATTATATATATGTCATTTAGAGTTATACTGAAAGAACAATCAAAAATTGAAATAAAATACAATTCTGTACGTCATTTACTTAATAACAACGAAAAGCCAATTAAGAATTGAAATATATTGCTTTTCTATATACCATTTAGAGTTATACTGAATGTCCAATACAAAAATTAAATATAATAAAATTCTATACACCATTTATGAACTTCATCTTTGGACCAATAAAAATCATTTACAAAAAAAGTCAAAACGATCAACCACATCGCAGTTTTGGGATGTTTTTCGCTCTAAGAATTTGTTCAGTTTTGTCATAAAAGTAAAGAAAATATTGAAATATTACTTACTTTATATGCTTTTCAGTTTAGTCAAAAATCGAATTGAAATACATTTTAAAAACTAGAAATGCGCTCTTAGAACGAAACAAAAAATGGAATTTCCTATCAATGTGGTTGT